CGTTGTGGCTCGTCCCCTGTTGGGTTCAAGGCGGGGGACCGGGGACCGTGTCCCTGCGCTCCCCTCTCGCGGTCCAGCGGCTGCAGGGAGCCGGTGAGGCATCGCCCCCTCGGGCCGCTGAACCGTGCCCCTCCGTCGCAGCGAGCCCCCGGGGGCAGCCCTCGGGCTGCGAACAGTGAGGGCAGGGCAGGAGCCTGGATCCCTTGGGCTGCGGCGGGGGAACCGAGGTCTGAGCGCTCTGCGGGGCTGAGATCAGCCCGGCTGTGGGTGAGGCTAGCAGGTTATTGCTGCTGATAAGGGCAGTCCTGCTTCTTCCCGCTCTCTGCGTGCGATCTCTCCCCGTCCTTCCTATGGCTCTTGGTGGCCTTGACTGGGTGGACAAACATCCACGTTACCACCTAGGCGGTGCTGGCGGGGTGTCCCCCGCCTCGCAGGGCCATCTGACAGGGTGGTGGTGGCTTCGTATGAGCTCAGTGGTCCCCTGCGGGAGTATGTCCTGCCACGCCTGTGGTGCTGAGCAGCAATGGGGAAGGACGTTGTGTTTGCTTGGCCTGAAAGTGCCTCTTCCCATCTACCACCCCCACTGAAAAGTTTTGTGCCTCCTCGAGGCTGTGGCTCTCCCCCTCCCAGCCCCCGTTTCCGACATTCTCCTCTTTGATATCAGCCTGGAGATGGTGTTTGGGATTTCATTCTCTTAATTTATTCTCTTTCTAGCAGCGGTTGGCGCCGTCATGCTTTTGCGGAAAACTGTTTGTTGCGTGTGCGGGTTTGTTTAAAGGCAGGATCTGCCAGCAGCAGGAGAGGCGGGGGGGCTCAGTACCTGCTTGGGTGGGTGCCCTGCAGCTGCTGCTTGAAAAACAAGAGAGAAGTTGCTCGCTCTGGTTTGAAGCCTGCGCCTGATAACTTCCTCTCGTGTCTGCTTCTGCTTGTCAGATGAAAAAGCATATATAATCGCTTCTCATTTGCCTCCTCCATGGCAAAATCCGAGTGATTTTTATAGACCTGTCTTGCAGGATAAATGTTAACGACGTCTATCAACATGACACTAAGCTGAAGCTGCTCCAGAGCTGTCCCCCACAACTACTCCTGAAATTCTCCTCCTGAGTTAACGGAGCTGCGTGGTGGGGTGTGTGCAGCCAGTGCTGTTCCACCGCCGGGTGCTTATAGACGTCTCGTTTGAGCTGCTGCTTTATTCTTGCCCTTCTCCAGCCCCGCGTGAGCGGCTGCGCTCTGTAAAATCCATGATAATTAACACCGCCTGGGGGTCCCCTGAGTCTTTCCACCCTCCTCGGGCACGGGGCCGAGCAGGAGTTGGTTGGGGTGCCATGGGAAGCTCTCAGCGGGAGTCCAGAGGATCCTCTTTTAGGGCTAATTCTTCTTTTTAAAAAAACATGTTTATCAGTGATCTGGAAGGAAATGCAAGTTGATGGAGGAAGAGCTGGAAAAGATGCAACAACTTAGAGAATGATAAATAATGAAGAGGACAGGTCCTTGGTACAGAGTGACCTTGATTGCTTAGCTGGAGGGCTGTGTTTTGCAAGCAATAGTCATTGCACTGAAGCAAGATGTAATGCTTTGCATCTAAAAAAAAATATTAAAATTGAGCCAAGAGGATGGGGAGTTCTTGCGGGGAAGTTTAGCTTTGAAAAAATGCAAATGCGTTGTGGATTTCATTCTTATTTTGAATATTGTGTGTGATTCGGAGCCAGCTCTCCCTCTTCCACCGCCCCAGCCGCCAGAAGAGGTGTTGAGCGGCTTCTGTAGAAGGAGAGATGAAATAGGTTTGGCCTTTTAATCTGGAAAAGCGGACCGAGGAGGGCATGAGCGAGGTGTATAAATCATTAATGGTCCGCGGGTACAGATTTATCGTTCACCTCCTCTCCCCTGCCCAAGAACCGGGAGGTGGTGGCTGGCACTGGTTTGCAGGGGCTTGGGACAAGCAGGGAGCCGGTTCTCTGCGTCTGGTTAAGCTGTGAGAATTTGTGCTGGAAGTTGGGGGGTTGGGAGGTGACAATGCAATTTCATGGTGAAAAAAGTACATTTATTATGTACTGACACCCTCTGGCTCGGAAAGCGCGTGAGCTGCATGTGGTGGGGGGTGCTGCTCTGTGTTTCCTGAGACTTTTCTCCGAGGATCTGTTGTCGGCTGCTCTCGGACATGATGGTGGGCTTGGTGGAGGTTTGGCTGGGCTCAGCCATTGCTGTGTCCCCCTGAAGCTCTTGGTCTTGCTGTCAGGCCACACTTCAGGGAGGGCGTTGATAAACTAGAGACAGTTCAAAGAAGGGTTTTCAATTGGAAGTGTTGCACTGCAGCATGGGGTGGATTCTGCATTGCCGAAAATTCATGCATCCAGCTGGGATGCCTTCGTAAAAACCTGCTGTGTTTCAAGTCCAGCCTTTGAACGCGATGGAAGATTTTGAAAGGAAACATCCTAATGATCATTTACACAGGAACTCGGAGTGGTTAATAATAATGACTTTTGTTTTGGCTTTACACCTGGTGAAGAGCTGACCTCCAGATGTTTTTCCTACCATGTCCTCGAGACCGGCTGTAGGACAACTGAAAAGCAGCAGAGCTTCGTTTATCTACTGCTATTAATGAAACAGCGGGAGATGCTGGTACAGATGCGTGTGCATTTGAGAAGATTAATTAGTGTTTGTCACTGTGCTGCAGATGAGCACACCAAATGTTATTACACACCTTGTTCTTGTCGTGTTGTCAGGAAAGGCAGCACTGCCTGTTAGGCTTTGTCCTGGAGAGGAGCAGGCGCTGCAGATTCCAGCCCACATGTGCAAATGCTCGAGCTGTGCTGGGCTGGGCGCCTGTTCCTCCCCGTTCCTGGAGAGATGCCCTTGAATGTCAGAGTCGCGGTTACTACAATCGGTCCGCAGAGAGCGGCACCCACTCCTTTGAGCACCACAAAATCCCTTTTTACCTCCTGCCTCGAGCCTCAGCATGGCTGAAATGCTGCGTGCGCTGCACTGTGACAGTGACCTCCCATCTCGCTGGTGCTCGGAGCTTAATGAATGGCAGCGGCGAAATGCTGTAATGAAAACAAGTGTTTGGAGGAAGGGGGGTTGATGTCTTCATCTTGGACGCATGGAGAGCGGTGGCCTGAAGCAGCCCTTTCTGCAGAGCTTGGCAGATGCACGTTTCTGGGGACGTGTGCTGCCCGCCCTGATAATTGCTGTAGTGAGAGTGAAAAATGGACTGCCTCAGTGTAGCTGTGAGCTTAGAGTGCTGTTTATGTCTGTCTTACAAACAAGATATTACAGCTGAGCAGACTAATTACAGGGTGTCGTAAAGAATGAACCCCCGGGCAGAGTCTAGAGACTCTAGTTAAGAGCTCCGTGTAAGAGAGAGATTTGTGGAGGAACAGCCCAGTGTTAAGACTGATTTTAAGATATGAACCACCAAAGTGGCGAATTCCCTCCCTGGCCCCATCTTGCTGGCATTTTCAGGTGTTTATTTGGCACTCACAAAGCCTTCCTGTCTTCTTTCTTGCAGATGTGTTGGTCGGCGATGCCTGCTGGCTCGGCTTGGCCCCAGCCTTTCTGTGCGACAGTGAGTCTGAGGTTTTACTGAGAGTAACGGGATTAAGCTCTTCCCCGAGGGATGCCGTCTAAGGCTTTGGGGCATGTGTGCGCTTAGTAATTATGGTCAATCAAGGCCATGTTTTAGCTGGGCACTTACTGCCTCATGCCACCATGAGGGCACAGCCTAATTACAGAGGGGTTAGGGCTTGTGGGTGGGGATGAAGGGAGAGCTTGGCTGGCTAATGAGGTGGGCCTGGGTCTCTTGCAGGGGCAGTGGTACCCCTGTCACCCCTCTGTGCCACTCTGTGCGACAGCTTTGCACCTGAGGAGGGCTGGGAGCCACAGAAGCCCTCTTGTTCCCATGCTTCGTGCTGCCGGGCTTAGGGAGAAATAGTTATTTTCTGCTAAATTGGGCTGTAAGTGTAATTGCTGTGTAATCTCGGGAACATTAAATTACAAGCTCTTTATTTGGTACAGTGTGCAATTACCGTGGCAGTAAAGAGCAGGTTGCATGTTATCACTGTTATATAATATGTTATCTGATATCCTATACCCTTATTTGGGTGGTGCTGAGGGGGGGTGGCTCAGCTCCGCTGTCTGAGTGGATTCCAGTGCAGCAGCTTCCCATCCTGCGTATTATTATTATTATTCACTTGAGAGAGCTGGCAGCGATTCCTCTCCTTGCCTGTGTCCACGCACAGCTGGAGCCGTTCTTTGTACTGCTGTAGTCAAGGTCAGCCAGGAGCTCACATCCTGCAAGATGGAAAACTGCCACAGCAAAGCCCGGCGGAGCAGGCAGGGGTAAAACGCTGCCATCTCTCTGCACCTCCCATCTCCTCTTCTTTTGCAGCATTGTCCCGATGGGAACGACGGCCAAGGAGGAGATGGCCCGCTTCTGGGAGAAGAACACTAAGTCCAATCGTCCCTTGTCCCCTCATGTCACTATTTACAAGTAAGAGCCTCTTGGCCTCCTCAGCTTCGCACTGGGGCACCTCTGGCACACGACAGCCCTTGGGTGGGAGGGCTGTGCACCTTCCCATTGTCACTTCAGGCAGAGGACGGGGAAACCCTCTACATTGCGCTGTGAACAGTCTGAGCTGTGTGTGGGAATCACAGCCTCCTCCACGGAGTTGATGACACTCACTGTTTTCATACAGGGTGTTGTGGAGGGGTACAGTCCCCCCAGAGCTGCACTTCGGGATGCTTGGGCAGGGCAGTGTTTCCAGATGTGCCATTGAAAGGCAGCTGCCTCCACGGGGGGCGGTTGTGCAGAATGGCGCATCCGCTGCAGAGTTGGCGGTCCTTGGGGGTGGAGGCAGGAGGCCAACTTGGGGCTCTTGGGTTCCCTTCTCAGAAAGGTGATGGCTTCTTTGGGGCCACCTCTGTCACTTTTCCAGGTTGTCTCGTTGATCTGTGAGCCCGGATACCCAAACCCTGCCCCTTTGTTCCTCAACTACAGGAGCATTACAGTCTTCTCCTGTTTCATCTCCCTTTAAGCTTTCTCAGCAGACGCCCTTCCCCTTCCCAAACCCATGCCAGTGGCATTTGCCATTCCCAAGCTGCCTCTGCAAATTCCCCTGTCTCTCCCCTTTTGCTCTGGCTGGATTCCTTGAATAACTCCGAGTGCAGAAATACCCGCCCAGCAGCACGGAGCTGTCTAGGAATAGACGGGCTGTGCTTTGTCTGATGGCCTCGGAGGCCTCCCTGGTGTTGTGCCCTGTTTTGCTGACGAGGTTGGTTGTTTTGCAGGTGGTCCCTGCCCATGGCGATGTCCATCACGCACCGGGGCACCGGCATTGTGCTGAGCTTAGGTGCGTGCATCTCCCACCTGCTTGTGGTGACAGAGGGCGGGGGCTGCGGGAGGGAAGAGCCCTCTGACCCCCTCTGATTTGGAAACGTGACTCCAGGCGGACGTTTTCTCTCCTCTGTCCCCAGCTTCAGCAATGGGTTTTCTTCTGGGAAACCTGCACTTTGTCCTCTCCCTTTCTCCATCCCCTGAATATCTCCCCATCCCCATTTCTCTGTCCTCTTGTGCTGTGAGTGGCTCCAGTTCTACAAAGGCAGTGATGCTCCTCTGCACGTAAAAGCCTTCGAAGCCTTTGTAAGCACTGTGGCCTGGCCTGGGTGCTTTTCTCGGGGCCTTCCCCAGCCTGGAAAAGGCTGATCTGCTGCTCTCAGCCCTTCTCTTCTGGGGCTGTTTTTTGCTGGTTTTACCCTTACAGGAGACCCTGTGTGTGGGAAAGACTGACAGGCAGGCAGAGCTCACAGGATTTTCCTTGGCACAGGTGGAGTTTTTGAGCTTCCTGGGAGTGGCTGCTGCTTTCCCAGAGATCCCGGTGAGGGAGAAGGCAGCACCAGCATCAAAACTGATAAACTCCCTCCAGCAATTTGATGTGCGTGGTTTGACTAAGTGATAGGATATCTAACTGTGAAAGGCTGTTTTATTTCCATTAATGCCCTCTCATGGCAGCAGGAAGGTGCTTCTCTGGTTGCTCCCTGTTGAGGGGGGGGAGCTGGGTTGGTGTTTGCAGAAGGGCAGAGAGTGAAGGAACTCAGAAAAGATGTGCAGGACTGAGGACTTGTGTTCTTCACTTGCCAGAGTGAGAGGGAGCAGTGAGGGCTGCAGCCTGCCCTTCCCAGCCTGGCCTCCCGTGAGGGCTTGGGAGTTGGGCTCCTAGAAAAGGGCACCCATGTGCTCCTGCTCCCATATCCACAGGGCAGAGCCCTGCTGAGGCCTCAGCTCTGCCCCTCCCAGGCCAGCCGGCTTGTGCCCAGCTCTGCCTCCTGAAGAGCGGCATGCATCCTCTGCAGGAGAGCAGCTGATGGCTGCCTGCTCCGAGCACAGCAAGGTGACTTTGCCTGCACCCTGTGAGCCCAGCTGGCTCCTTGGAGGTGGCTGCATGCCTTGCTCTGCATGCGAATCCAGGGCATTGCATGGCAGCCGTGCTGGCACCACCCAGCTTTGGGATCTTATCTCCAGGAGCTCAGGACGTGCCTGGCCCCGTGGGCTGCGGTCCCCGTCCAGTCCAGCTTGCTGTGAGACAGGCCGAGCTGGCAGGTTCACTGTTGCCTTTCTGCTCCAATCCATCAGCCTTTGCCTGAGGGGAAATCGTCCTCTTCCCAGGCCGATTGAGCACAAAGGAACGAGGAGAAGGGGAGGGGGAAGTGTTCAACTCCGCTCTGTCAAGGCCTATAATTACAGGAGCCTCTGACTTCCTGCACTTCTTGCAGGGCGAACACAAAGGCCATTGAGGAGACAAGTGGCTGAGCGAGGAAGCAGCTGGTTGATTCAGGCTGCCAGTGCCGGCCTCAGCCGAGGTGCTCGAGCTAGCGTGCCGCAGTGTAATCAGGCGCTATTGAGTGGAGGGTGAATCGCGAATTGGCTGACTGCTGGCTGTGATCGTTCCCATTCTTTTGGCAGCACCATCTGGAGAAACCCTCTTGGCCTAGAAAGGAGGAGGAGAAGCTGCTGCAGCTAGTGCAGCCACACGTGTCAGGCTGTCTCTTTGCTGGTTCCTTTGCTGGTCCCCATCAAGGCAGCCTTGCTACATTGCTGCCTGTGTCAGTGGCTGGTGGCAGAGGGGTTTCTGTTCTGAGATGTGCATCTGGGGACTTCACTGAAGAGCTGCCACCTTACATTTCCAAACTTCCTTGTCCCTTTAACCTTGAATTTGGGCTGGTTTGGCTGCAATTGCATGAGCTCATGCCAGTTTGGTCTCTGGGTGTTGTATGAGTAATGCAGCCCCTGGTGCAGGACCCAGATTCTTTGCGTTGTTGCCCCGGTTTGAGTCCTCAGCACCCCAGGGTACAGTGTCACAGTGCAGCTGGCACTGCCACTGGATGGGCAGAGCCCTTCTCCTTCCTCCTTCCTTTGCAGGCTGCCATGAGCTGATGGTGGTTCAGGCTGTGTCACCAAACCAGAGATGTAGAGGTGGCCTGGGGCTCTTTGTGGGCAGCTAGGGGTTGGTAATGCTTCTGTTGGCTTGACCTGTGGGCTTTGTCTTTCTCAGGAGTCTCCCTCTTTGGTCTGGCTGCCCTGCTGCTCCCAGAACAGTTTCCCCACTACCTGGCCATGGTGAAGTCGCTCAGCCTGGGGCCCGCTCTCATCTACTCTGCTAAGTTTGCTCTGGCTTTCCCCTTCTCCTACCACACCTGGAATGGAGTCCGACACCTTGTGAGTAGCCCCTGCGAGGGGCCGTGTGCCTGCTTGGGGATGCGAGGGAAGTGAAGTGTCTGCCGGCTGTGGGAGCGCCGGGTGCGGCATCTGGGAAGGTGCCCTTGGAAATGGGAATTAGTCACCTCAAGTGCTTCAGAACCTCAGTGCTATTTTTGGGTACATTTAAGTTGCAGAGAGCATCACTACGCTGGTACTTGACCGGGTGGCACAGCTGGCTGAAGCATCCCCCCGCATCTCCTCACCTGCGGGAGATGGACGAGGGGTGGCAGGAGCAGCGTTACAGCCAGGGGAACGCGTCCACAGAGCCTCGAGCTTGAGCCCTGCAGAAGTGCCACCCGTTGCTCGTTATCTCACCCTCGTCATGCAGCCATTGCGCTGTGATCTTCCAAGTGCTTTATAGTATTTAATGAGCCCAGAAGACATGTGGCAGAGGATTGCAGACAGCGCTGCCTGCGAAGAAAGTAACCTGTGATGTTTGCCATGGGCTGAAGTGCGGAACAAGCAGCTCCGTTCAGCCGAGCTTCCTGTGTTTGATGAAGGAGGGGGAGCTGGAGAACTGAGAGTTTCTTGCTGGGAACAGTACAAGACGTGCTGCTTTTTGTAGTTGATTTTGTGTTTTCTGTAGCTCCAGATAGGTTAGGTTTTACGGGAGCAAATTGCAAAGGCAGCTGGCCCGGAGTGTGACATGATCCTTCTGCTCTGGGCGGGGGGAGCATCACGTGCGGAGCTGTGCTGCAGACGTGGGCTCGCGCTGCAGGCGCTGATGGCTCCCAGTGTTTCCAGTGTGGAAACACGGGACTTGAGCACTGTTGGATGTTGTATCCTGTACCCGGGAGCAGCCGTTACGAGGTGATCGTGTCAGAGTGCCAGGAGGGACCTGGCTGAGCTGTTGGGGTGAACAACAGCAGTGTGCTGTGAGGGCAGCCCCCTCTGTGGGTCCTTGGGGCGGATGGTGGCCAGCCGGCAGTGCTGTGAGTGCTCGTTATCTGCTTTTCAAGCACTCCGCGTCGGAGGAGTCTCGGAGCACGGGGCCTGCAGCTGGCTGAGCCCTGCTCGCTTGTGGAGACGCTGTTGGGCAAATGGAGCAGTCATAACCTGCTGCTTGTTCAGAGCATCGTGAGTCGAATGCGTGCTGAAGTCTCTGACTGCACGTATATATTAGGATGCCAATTAAATTGTCTGAGAAGGAAACCAGCAGCGTTGGCTCCCCAAAGGGGAGTCAAGAGGGAGCAGGTTCAGTTTAGTGCCTCTGCCCCAGGTGCTTCTCTGCATTGAGCCCTGGGGGCTTGCTGGCAGGCTGGGAGGAGGTGTGTGCTCCCCAGGCTGCCCTCAGCCACCCCGCTTTCGCTTGACCAAAGTCAGGCGAGATATGCAAACCCACCTGTGATATCTGGGAACTGAGGACACCCAGCTCCGGGCTGCAGTTCCAGCATCCCTCCCTGCCATCCAGGCTCAGCCTGGCCTGCACAGCTCGCACCATACCCAGGGGCATACACAGAGGTGCAGGAGGCCAAGGCTCATCCCCACCCACTTGGCTCTGCCCGCGGGGATGTTAGCGCTGCCTCAGATCTGTGGCTTGCACCGTGCTTTATAACCTATTTCTGTCAGCAGGAGAGAAGCAAGTGGAAAGCAGCTGCCGCTTTTGAAGTGAACCTGGCATGCTGTGGCTGTTGGGGATTAGGGAGAGCTCACGGGTGGCTTTGCTGATAGTTGCAGGGGCTTGGTGGGGGATAAGCTTCCTCTGGCATGGCGCGCGCGTGCCTCCACCCAGGGAGACCCCTGCCTGTTGCCCTGCAGTGATGGATGCTTGTAGCCCTCCCTCCAGTCTGTACCCGGTGGTGCAAAGGCTGTTTTTTGGGGTGGCCTTGATGGCTTTTATTAGAAAGATGGTGCCTTTCTGCCTGCGTCTGGTACATCCCCCTTCAGGGACTGTCCCAGCCCTGTTGAATTAACCCTGCTGTGTCTCTTCTTTCCTGCAGGCATGGGACATGGGGAAGGGGTTCAAGATCCCCCAGGTCAACCAGTCTGGGGTGCTGGTCCTGATCTTGACCCTGCTCTCCTCCGCGGGCCTTGCGGCAATGTGAAGGTACCTCCTGGTTGATGGCCTCCCTTTTTTCAGAAGATTTGCTCCGTCCTGGCCCACCTCAAGATGTGTGTGGAGAGGGAAGTGGGAGGACAGGCTTCCCCTCCTCGCAAATCTCGTGGATGATCAGAGTTGCTTTTCATTAGCCCGGGTGATGTCCCGGGCACAAATTATCAGCCGATCCTGGCACGTTCAATTGCTCACAGAGAGCTGCCTAGCTTCTTCCAGGCAAACTCCAGGGCGTTTCTTTTCTCTGCTCTGTCCCCAAGCTTGAGACAATGCTGAATCTGTTCCCCGCAGGTCCGAGTGGGCTCGGGGACTGCTGGTAGTGCGTGTGTAGGCCTGTCACAGGACAAGCATCTCCATTGAGGCAGCCCGTGCCAGGGCAGGGAGAGCAGGCGGAGCTGCCAACGCCAGCACCCGTGAGGGGAATGGGTGATCGGTGCCGTCCAGGTGCCGCACCAGCTGCGGGACCCTGCGCTTTCCAAGCCTGGTAGCGTGAGCCAGCTGGGGTGGGGTGCTCAGACCTGCAGAGGTTCAGTCCCCACTACTTATCCTTGAAATGTTGTGATTCAGCCAGCTTTAGGGCCCCGGAGCCCCTGCCAGTGAAAACATCCAATTTTCCTGTCTTAGGAAGTTACTCTGTCACTGACACGATGGGAGGGACGTGGTTTTCCCATCGTGTGTTGCCACCAGCTCTCATTTCAGCACTTGTCACTTGTCCACCTTTGCAATAAAGCAGCCTTGATCCTTCATACTGAGCCGCTGAGTTTGTTGTCTGTGCTCAACACTGTTCACTGAGGCGAAGTCGGCTGGGAAGGGGTGGGTGTTTTGCTCTGAGATCCGGGGAGTCGCCACTTCCCAGAGGAGCCGGGCGATGGAAAAACAAACTGTTTGCAGTGTTTAGAGGCAGGTGTAGTGCCTGACCTTTGGAGCTGGCGGGTGCGGGGTTGGCTTTGTGAAATGCTGCCAGCCTGGCAGAAAGGAATTTCCTACCTGGACTGTGATTGTGCTGGTACAAATGCCTGCACAAGGTTCAGGAGCTTTTTGTTCAAATTGGCCAATTTTTAACATTTGCCACTGGGAGCAAAGCTTTACAAAGAGAATGCTCCCCATCAGGAGCTCTGTCCCGCTTTCCTGTCCTGGCAAGGGTTTCGGCTCTGTTTCAGGAAGGATCCTCCTTCCCCTTCACATCATCAGCCGGCAAAATGTCGGCTTTATAGGGAACATCTGCTCTCCTCATTGGAGTTTTGATGGAGACCTGAAGTGGCAGGAGGGGAGCTGGTCCAATAATGCTCTCCAAGATCCCTCACGCCGGCCAGGCTTGTTTCCATGCGATTGCTTTTACTTCCGCCACTGATCTGAGCCCTGTCCCTCCCACTCGCTCAGCTCCTCTGCCTGCCTGCTGGACCTACATATCTGCCACTCCTTTAATTAGCAGACGGCATCACAGCCCTGAGGGGACGTGGAGCTTTGGAGATGAGAAATCACAAAGGAGGAAAAGCAGTCTGCTGTCATCATGACAGAGGGAAAAGACTTACTGCCGAATCCCGTTCAGTGTAGCCACATGCCCCAGCAGGAGAGAGCTTCTCCTGGGTGAAAATGAACATATTTTAGCTTTAAACCAATTACTTCCTGCAGTTGCTGAAATGGCTTTTATTTGGAACGCACTTCTGCTCGCTAATGAGCTATTCTGTGGTGTGTGCCAGCTGCTAACGAAGTTAGACTTCGCTGCATCTCTTGGCTGTACTTCACAGACTTTATTTTCCTTTCAGGAGCAGTGGCAGGGGGCTGGCAGCACTGCCCCACGGCTGGGGCGGACCCACCACCACCGCTTTCCCAGTGACGGGAAACGAGGCCAGACCTGCCTCTCTCCCCCACAAGACTCTGGTCAAGGAATGGATGAAACCAGCCTGCAGCAGCGGGATTGCTGCTGGTCGGCATGGGGAGAGGCCGGGTGAGCCGTGAGCGGCTCCAGGCCTGCGGCTGGTCCCATGTTTCCAGCACGAGATGCTGTTAAACGGGACAAGCCAAGATACAGCCCAGAGAAGGCACCACGTCTGACACAAAGCACTGCGCAGACCCATGCAGCCTGGACCTGCCTGGGGCTCTGCCCTGAGCTACTGAAACCAAACATGGGGATTTATTTATTTTTTTTAAAACTTGTATTTTTCCAATTGCCATGAGAACACAAAGTGTGGGACATGTGGTGCTGTCCCGGTGTCGGCCTCGCTCAGGCTGCTTTGACAGGTCCCCCTTCCTCACCCGAGGTCTGTCACAGCAGGCTGCTGGGAGCATGGGGTTTGTCCCCCATGCCTGGCCTGCTGGGAGCAAGGCTGGTGTGCAGCTGGGGCTCCAGGGACGTGTCTGCCTTCAGCTGGACCTCCGTGCAGCCGGGCTCGCAGGAAAGTGGCACCGCGGCTGTGGCTCCTGCTCCAGGCCCAGGCAGCTCCTCCAGTGGTGGCCCGGGAGAGGCCCTGGCGGGCTGGATGCCCTCGCTGGATGCCTGACTGCTCCTTTGGGAAGGCTCCTTGGCCGGTCGCACGTCTGACTGAAGCTCTTGGGGCTGTGTGAGGGAGATGTGTGCTGTGCTCATGGTGCAAAGATGGGGACCGGACAGAAACACTGGGGCCAGTGGGTCTGGGCTTGCTGCAGGGCCAGGCTCTGTGCTGGGCTCACCGCAGCACTCGGGGCAGGGGCTGCTCTGCCCAGGGATGAGGCACCGTTGCAGTGGTCCCCGGGGAGAAGCAGGGAGTGGAAAAGGGGTGCTGGGAACCTCTCCGCATCAGGGCAGCCCCTATTCTCAGATGCTTTTCTCCGGGAGGAGAGCAGCAGCTTGTGAGCTCCTCCTGCCGGCACAGTGGTGGCCGCGGCGGCCTTGGCACCCGGCCAGCAGCAGGGTGATAAGTCTGGATTTGGGGCGAAGCTGAGGGAGCCCCATCCCGAGAGCAGGGGGAGATGGTCGCCCAAGCACTGGGTGCCACCGGGATCTACCAGTGGGTGCAAACCGGGGACATGGGAGGAACAAGTCTGAAAGATCCCATGGGAGAGAGGGAAGCGGCACAGGGAGCAGCAAATTTCCCCATGCGGCTCTGTCTCTGCTGCCTTCTCTCCTCTCCCAGCCTGGTGCGGGCCTGGGGTGGTACAAAATGCCCCTGAAATCTGCTGGTGGGCTGGGGTGCTGTCCTTGGACTGCCGGCGAGAGGCACCTACCTTCCCGGTGATCTCTGTCCGGAGGCCGTTGCAGGCGCGGGTCAGGGCAGTGGGTTGGTGGATCCAGTCAATGAGCCGTGCGGCGGCGGTGGCCGAGCGGGAGGTCAGGTCCAGCCTGGCCGGGGGAATCCTCGGCGGCATTTCCCAGGTCCCCACAAACCTGCCCCATGGGGATGCCTGGGAGGAAGAGGGGGAGCGGGGCCTGGCGAGGGCCTTGCAGCCCCAGGGAGCCCCAGTGCCGGCTGAGGGGCAGAAGCGGCCACCTCTGCCCCCGCCACGGGTGCCCGTGGATCTGGCTCACCTGGGAGCGGGGCACGGTGGGGAGCAGGTGCCCACGGTTGTCGGCAACAATCGGTGTGGAGCCCTCCCGCAGCAAGGGGCGCTGGGGGAGCAGGGGGTGGCTGTATGGACGGGGTCTCAGGGGAGTCCGGGCTGGGGCTGAGGGGGGTCCAGGGGGTCTGGGCCAGGGCTGATGGGGGTCCCAGGGGGTCCTGAGGGTCCAG